AACCTTGCCACGCAAAACCAACACATTAAGGTACTTGTGCACAGGTGTGGTATTGATCTATACAAGCAATCCAGCTACCGAGTGATCTTTGATCTTTCTCTGAGGTTTTTCATCATGACAGTAGACGACTCCAAGGAGCAGGCTCCAGTTTAAGTTATCCAGAGACAGGATCAATATTCCTAGCTGAAAAGATGTGGGACTGTTCTCCTCAACACTTGAAGGCTTCAGTGATCAGGTAGTACTTAATGTGATCTCAGGTCCAAGCTCAAAAATACAGATTTCTGGACAGGAAGCATCCTTCAACATGCTGCTGAGGTCACCTGCACTACAGTAGGAGCTACTATGACTACTACTAACGCTCCAGCTTAGCTACTTTAGCTACTCCTTGGCACAAGTCGAAAAACACACACAGCTCAGACTGCTCTCCATGAAACTTCTTTGCTACAGAAATAAAAACACAAGCAAGGAAAACTGCTTATGTTTTACAGCAGAAGAAATCTTCTGTCCTGGGGGCCTTCAAAAGAAAACTGGTAGGTTAATATTGCTGACCTACATGAAATTCAGAAGCTGCCTCAAGTTAATATTTGAGTTGACCAACTCAGTGATTTTTAATGCTTCTTCTCTTAGGACAACAGTGTAAACTAACAGCTTGAATTTCACCAGTACTCCAAGACAAGGGATAGCTGCTACAAAGGCTGTCTTCCTGAAGAGGTGCCACAGCAAACAATGCAAAAGGCTGACTGGGAACACTGGGGAATAGGATCATTCCCTCAGGGTAAAATCCTTACTGAGCTGTGAGAAAACTGATGGAAGACCTAAGTCTGACAGATTCTGGAAGCAGAAAAAGGCTCACTGTCACAAATCTTCAGTTGTTACAAAGGAAAGAGAGGGGCAAAATTCTGTACTTCACCTTTCCTTCGGGCCTCCTGTTACAGACCACATAAATCAGTGCAGCAGCTGAACCCTCTGCAGGAGGAGGGCTTGGAGAACATGGACAATAAAGAAGGTGAAGCAGTAGCACTTGATCAAAAACAAACTAGCAATTTCTTTCAAGATATACACTGGTTTTGTGCTTTGCCATTAAGCTCTTCCAAAGAGGAGACACTTCTACAAAAGAAAATTTACAGATCCCAGGGTGATGCCAAAGACCTAAAAAGTCAACAAATATGAGGTTTCTCCTAGTTATTTTTTGGGCTGTGGGCTTAAAATCCCTGATAAAACTTATTGATATGTATGTGGTAATCCCCTAAACAAAGGGGGAAGATATATATGAACACCAGAAAGGCCATTAAAAAAAAGGATAAAAGCAAACAAATCAAAGACATAGGCATAGATCAAAAGACAGCTAGCTGATAAGACATGAAAAGAGCTATGACAAACTGTACGGTGGGTCAGGCTCCAGCCTTATTAAAGTATGTGAAGTAAGAGGTCACAGCAATGTTACTGCTAGACCAAAGAAGTCCATAGTTGCAAGTGTTTGGGTATATGCGTCCTTTCAATCTAAGCATGCCTTTTGTTAAGCGCTCAGAAGTATAAGTCTGATTTTTTTTTTTTAATAGAAGTTTCAGAAGTGGGATGAAATTGGCTTGGTATTTGTCTGTTTATCACTGAGAAAATGGTAAGAAGATTGTGTAGTGCTTTTGTGAAGCAAACCCACAGCCTTGTAGGACGAGTGGCAAAACTATTATTTCTACCTTCATGATGTTACAGAATATCAAAACAAGTTATTGTTGGCATGAGAAGCTAGTGACTTGACATTTCAGGCTGATGTTTACTTGAATGGTTATCTTTGGAAACATCTTGATAAAAGCAGTACTTCAAAGCTCTAACAAAGGGTCTTAAATTGACTGAGACCTGCACAGAAACAAGCTGTAAAGATTCCATACTCTTAAGAATTTGGTTACTTTGTACAACTTACCACTGTAAAATTAGTTTGCAAACTACTGATAAACCAACATTCTAGAAAATTTTTCATATACAACATTTGCTAGAAGACATTAAATTGCTCAGGCACCTTCCAATCTCCTTACCTCTTGTCCTGAAAGGTAATACGCTGCTAGAAGACCGCCAATGAAGCGAATATTGACCTCAAAAACAGACACTTCAGAATTCTAGAACAGGAAGAAAGAGTCAGTAATTAACCAACTCCCTAATCAAAGAAGAAGAAAAAATAATCATCCAGGCAGAGGCAAGTACATATCCTAAACCAATATGCATGCAAGGGTTTGTACTGTTTCAGTATTTAGATCCGTACTGAAATTCCTGTGCACATCTTCATGACACCAACTGGTAATTCTAGTTACAGCTTCAACTGATTTTTACAAAAAAATAATTTTTTTTTTCTCCTGTTCTCTAATCATATTTATCACCACAAAGTGCAATTAAATTTGTTTGGGGATGGTGGGAAAGAAGGCAAGGACTGCACATTTCCATAATTCAGCATCTTTTCTCTTACATTTAAGTATAATACCAAACCTTCTGGGTTTACACTATAAAGTAGAATAATAATTAGAGAACTCCTGTAATGTGCTTTCTTAACCTGAACTACCAATGTGCAATCTCAAGTTCAGAGTTCCATTTTAACACAGTGTCTGTCTAGGAATAGCCTTTATGTATTTAATGTTACAACAAGAAGTACTGCAAGACCACTGAGAAACTCAAGAGAATGAATCATTTTGCTGTCTTCCTCAATATTAATATCCTTGGGTTAAATTCACCAGTATGTTTTGACTCATTTAACTCATTGAACTTTAAGAACTAGCTAGTTTTAACATCTTTCTGCCTCCCTCTGTGCCCCATTCACTCCTTTGCCTGCATATACTCCACCTGTCTCCCCCATAAACTTTTCTTCATTCAACCCATTAGACATGTAGTTTTATTAAAAGATTTTGAGGCAAGGGAGCCTTTCCTTTTATCCAGAAAAGTCACTAGAATGTACGCTGTACAAGTTGACCCACCACTCGGCACGCAGTTAAGTGGTATATATAGGTATATCTCTCCTTTCACACTATTTCTATGGCACCTGTGGTTGTATCATGCATTTCACTTGTATCCAAAATAAATGCATTTTGCACATACTACTTATTTCAAAAAGATTGTATGAATACTTTGACAATTTCCTCAAATATCACTGATGATTAAAAGTCTACAGTTTGAAATACTCCCAATTATAGGTTTTTAATACAAGATGTATTTTTATTCACATACATGTGATGCAAGAGAAACATCAACAATGCAGTGTCTGATTCCACTTAATACCTATTGAAGTCATACACAAGCAATGGTATAGTGTAGAGTTAAACCAGTGATTTCCCCAGTAAAAGAATCTAAGAGGAACCAATTTATGTATTTATTTATAAACTTCAAACCATCTAAGGAAATTAATCAAGTCTAGTGTATATATAAGACAACTCATTAACCTTCAGAAATGTTTTTCGATACATAGGAAGCTGTAATTGAACCTCAGTGGGTCATGTAAATTTTTTCCACCTGATTCATAAATTTGCAGAATTAATCTAGATCAAGATTGCCTCACATCAGACAAAAGTTATGGGAGTAATTCAGTTCCCTCTCACGAAGGTACCATTATGTCTATACTGTCTCTGATATATTTAGGGCTTTCAGTTTTAGGCTGAATAATTATCTGGCACTAACTGAAAAAAGAAGAGTAGTTCTTTAATGTTTGCCAGAGTGTTAATGTTTAAAACAAAAGGAAAAACCCCAAACAATTTCTGAAATGTGGGAAATAATATAAAACAACAGTAAGCATCTGCTCATTTCTGAACTGTATGCCTACTTTTCATTTTGTGCATTACTGAATGAGAAAACATTTTTGGAACCATAGGGCAAGTCTAAGAATTGAAATACAAATTTGTCGCAGAATCTGTGACAGTCCCAAAATCAGTAATAAGAACACTAATCAATAAGGATATAATAGACCCATTTCTTCCATTTAACGCTTCCAAACTCTGTGCACGCAAAGAATGTCAGATGCTGTATGACCAGCTGGGAAATTCTTCTGATGGTTTGCCTACAGGTTCTGAATCTAAGTCCACTCGAGTGGCATTCACGATGTTAAAACATCTTAAGGGCATGAGAGAGGACATCATCAACATTGTATTGTTATACACCATGGTTTGGGGGAAAACTGTCTTTCACAGCTCAGTTATTTCCACCTATCAGCTAGTAAAGCCTCATTTTTCTGCAATCACTCATTTGAGGCCCTGTTGGTTCTCACTGACCACCTCCCCTTTCTTCCATTATCCAATTATAATTTGTGCTTTGAAAATACAATATACAGATGTATCTTCACTTATAATTAAAGTGTGAAAGGGTCGATTGGTTGCTTTTCACAAATAAAGTTAAAAACACAGAGAACTTCAATAAAGCTTACCTCTGAACTTCTGATACTTTGAATCATAAGGTTTTTAAATTCCAGCTGAAAGACCTCTTCTGTCCGTTCCCCCCCCCCCCCCCGAAAAAGAGGAACACTGTAAAAAGGACTAGAGAACTAATAGGGCAAGCTCTACTCACCACACTGAAATCAAGATTTTTGTCAATCCACTCTTGTCCTTCTCTGAATTCATCGTGAAGCCCCATGATATAAAGAGTATCCAATGCATCTACTATGGTAGCACCCATTTGTGAGTTTCCTACACACAAAAAGAAGGATTTCTATTACAAGTGAGTATTTAATTACTTTTCTTAAACATCACAAGCATAAGAAAACAACCCAATCAGTAGCAAGACAAAGTTACTACAAAGATAAGACCACAAAGAATAATCAAAATGAGCAAGAAAGTAGTAATTACATAAGACAATCACACTTCTCTTTTAAAGCATCAGTTCCCCAGCACAGTTTGGCTTCTGGGGAGAAAAGAAGCCTAAAGATAGGAAAAAAAGCCCTCTCATCTGCTTTACTAACCTGAATGTGAACAACTGTACTTTGACACACACACACACACAAAAAAAAAAAAGACATTCAGCTTCCAAAAGCTATTAGGCATTATAGGGCAGAAGTGTTAAAAAAGACACATATGCAAGATAAAGCAATCTGTATTAGCAGTAATGCCTTGCATTTCCCAATATTTTCTACTGAAATGTTCAAGGTTTTGCAATTCTGGAAGCTACCTAGTCATGGAAAACATGGACTGATGAGCAGGGATGCCCTGACTTGGCTTGACTGCAGCCCCAAGATGTTCAGGTCACTCTGCAGGGACCCACACTATGAGGTGCTAACAGATTCCTCAGTTGTCACCATTGAAAGTGGAGCATTTAACGCCAAATAAAAATCAATGGTGCTTTTACCCTAAAATGTCATTCACTTGAAACAGCAGCAATTTAAAGTCGATAAGTGACTGACTTAGTGGTTTGTAAAAGGGAGCCGGTATGAAGAGGTGAGGCACTGACCATGATAGCCTCGACTTCCTTAGGCCAGCACAACCTAAGCCGGTGCCTTTATTAGGCAGAGGTCTTTGTTTATAGAGGAAATTACCCTGGGTTTATTTATTTTCACGGAGCATGTAAAACTTCCTACGTACTAAGAAAGTAGCTGAATGTCACTGTTCATACCGGTATTCTATAAAACAGTACAGTATGATTAGCAATTTAATGACAGTAATCTCCTAACAACTTTTTTTTTTTTTTTAATGTGCTTTTCATCCATAATGGAATTTCTACAGCACAGTGTTCCTGCTTGGTTGTTTCTACTCATTCATTTCTGATTTTTACCTGTTTGGAGATATTCTTTCCCCTCAAGCATAACAACAACTGAATGAAGCCATCACCCTCATTGGATTTCTTTTACACACTCAAATGACTGATATTTACATCCAAGCTTAATTCCATTTTCAGAGATTTCTTTCCCCAAATAATAACAATTAAACACAACAGTCTCTATGACAAAGCAATCATCAACTAATTTCTTTAAAAATAGTCGTGGATCTGTTTCAATTAATTTAAACTAGATATGGAAAGCCTTAAGTCAGTGGTGTTTGTTAGGAATATTCAACTGCAGATGAGGACACACAACCTTTTGCAAGATTAAAGACACATCCTTCAACAAGTTGGGTACCAGGCACATGTATAACTGTCAGGAAATGAATTCACTGTGGTGCATAAGTACTGTAGGGTTGAACACCTTCAGCCAAGTGACAAATTCCATTGCTTGTGCTGAAGTGGAGGTCGCTTTGAGCAGAGCTACAGCATGCACTTAACTTCACACCTTTTCATAAGCATAATGTGACAGTTATTTTTGAAGTGATAAATTAGGTAAGTAAACCATATCATGACACAAGGACTAACTTCGGTATTAGCTGACAAGGTATTTCCGACGTAAAGATGGAATGTGTTATACTGCTGTGGCATTCAAAGTGATTTCTGTTCCTTTATTTAAACCACATTGATAACATTTTCAGATAGTCAAGGTGTTTGAACTAATAGGGATACATAGCCTTGGGAAATTCTGAAAACTCCTCCTGTAATAGTTTCAAAAAATGAAAACCTAACTTAAACACAGTGATAACCACGTCAATAAGTTCTCATATTCTATAATTGGCATGGGATGAGAATACATTGCATGAGGATGGACTGGTATGCCATCATACCCCCTACCCCAGGAAAAAAAAAAAGTTCTGACACCATTATACTATCATCCAGTTCTCTAGATCTCGGAAGTATGTTCAAGTGTCCACAAGGAGAAACAGCACTATGCTGGGCACAAGAATATCCACTTTCGAGTTCTGCAGAAAATATCTTCACAAATACAAATTTAAACAAGCTTTTTCATAGAGTTCTCTGCACAGAACCATGAAAGAAGGGCCATGGGAATGCAAAATCCCATGATTATTTTTTCCATCTCACCAATCCAATAGATGCATCCAGAGACTGAGAGCAAGAAGGCTAGAACTGCTGGAACAGAGCTCTCTCCAGAATCAGGCACACACATGTGTGGTTTCCTAATGCATCCCACAGTGACTGAACAATACCACTTCAAATATGGACAAGAAATTTGCTTTCATCCTCACAGTGTTAAAAGTGAGCCCTCAATCACATATACAGAACTCTCACCTAAACCAGTAGTCCCCTATAGGGATCGACCCGTTTCATGCAAGATCCTCCAGTATTGTTTGCAGCCACAGAAATAAACGCAGTCTGATAGAGCAAAATCAACTTGCTCAGTATTTTTTGTCCCTAAGAAGCAATTAAAGGTGTACATTCATACTCTAAGCTTTTGCCTGGGCCACACTGCAATAGTTTGTTCAAGCTTTCCCTCCTGCTGCCCTTTTGCCCCTCTCTCTCATCTTCTATGTCTATCTTTCCTAGACCTGCAAACATTCAACAAAACATTACTGAGCAACGTCTCTTCTGCTCACACATGCCTCTTCCCTGAGCAGTGACAGGTGTCTGTTTCCAAGATGCAGATCAGTATGGTTTTAGTTTCTAGACTCCATGTGAGAGCACAACTATTTCTTACCATGGTCTCCTAAGGATAGCATTTATATCCCAACCCATAAAAATTATTCATTTTTCTTCTTTCTTATAAATAAGTAGGCTATAAGTAGGTTTATTTTTCCTTTTTCTTCTTAAACATATGGTAACTAATCCTAACTGCACAGCAGCACTTCTTCCTTGAGGAAAACTCAGAAGAACAATCTTTGTTTTTTAAACCTTTTGGGCTGAACACATTTCCAAAAGGTCAAGAGATGACAATATTTTGCAACAGATTATCTGCCCAGTCTTCTTCCTTTAGTGTCAAGCAGGCAGCACAAAGCAAGCTAATTCCCTCCTCCTCGGCATTGAGGTGGAAGAGCCAAAAAAGCAGGGTTCATACCCAGAAGCTTCATGCCTACAAGAATAGAGGGCAGAGCTAAACATAAAGCAACACAGAGGACAATAGACTTAACCTAACACCATGGCTGCCCCATGTTGCAAGATAGGTACAACTTAAAACCATTTGTGGGCTACACTAGGTTGGGTTAGAGATTAAAATTAATTGCTCTCAGCTTTCTCTTTGGAGGAGATATCATTCTTAATTTGTTCCTAAGTAACAGCTTCTGCTGAATTCTTCTGCAGCTGCTTTTGTGGTTGAACCCAGCAGGCAACTAAAATAACCACACAGTCCCACACCTCACCCCCACCCCACAGCGGGACTGGGGAGAGAATCGGGGAAAAAAAAGGTAAAACTCATGGGTTGAGATAAATACAGCTTACTATGACAGAAAAGAAAGAAAATAATAATGACGACAACAACAGAATATACAAAATGAGTGATGCACAGCACAATTGCTCACCACCTGCAGATCACTGATGCCGAGCTAGTTCCCGAGCCATGGTTCAAATCCCCGGCTAGCTTCCCTCAAGTTATACACTGAGCATGATGTCATATGGTATAGAATATCCCTTTGGTCACTTGGGGTCAGCTGTCCTGGCCCCTCCCAAGTTTTTGTGCACCCCCAGCCTCCTCGCTGGCAGAGCAGTATGAGAAGCTGGAAAGTCCATGACTTAGTGTAAACATTGCCCAGCAACAACCAAACCATCGATGTGTTATCAACGTTATTCTTATCCTAAATCCAAAACACAGCAGCACTACACCTGCTACTAGGAAGAAAATTAACTTTATCCCAGCCAAAACCTGGACACTGCTGAGGTCTACAACCTAAACAGAACAGGCAGTAATGTTGTCATAGCTGTCTTCACCTCAAAAATGCATGGCACTACCAGCAAGGCAGCAGCTGAAGTCTAAAGCAGGGAGAAATAGCAAGTGTTCAAAGATCACTGGCCTGCATCAGTCACACATGGGGCTGTAGG